AATCCCCTTCCCCTCCCCCATTTCTGAAGAAGGGTCTCGACCCGAAACGTCAGCTTTCCTGCTCCTCTGATGCTGCTTGGCCTGCTGTGTTCATCCAGCTCTACACCTTGTTATACTTAATTCATAGTCTGTATTTGCTGCTTTCTAAACATGACTCCCACAATGCAGCTAAATTGTTTTTGATATTCCTACATCCCCAATACTTCTTTTAAAAATGAGCAGCACTTAACAGATAACTTTTGAAATTCATTATGTACAACACCCAGTTCATTCCCAGCCAATATCTATATTTGCATTATACAAGCTATACTTCACATTTGTTTTGCTTTTATTGTTTCCTTTCATATTCCCCATAATAGAGATCATTTATCACAATGATATCAACATCAGAATACATAGATAATAGATGTGGAAAGCTACTGAAAAAATAATAGTAATACACATTTTTTAAAACAAACTTAATGGAAGATATTATAAGGGTTGAGAACATGGAAAATATTCTCACCAATGGAATAAGCTCCACTCTCAGATCACTGCCACTTATGCTTCAGGTCAGGTCTAGTGATTATTTTTATACTTTGTATTTCATTCTAGGATCACAGCAGATAGCTCCAACTCCAGAACTGAAGAAATATAAAAACCTCTTTTTGTCTATTACACTCTTGCTTATTTTAGGACATTCCTTGGGAACTCCACTAAAACTCACCAGTTGCTTGCCTCTGATTACAGCCATGTGCACATTCTTCAAAGAGCCATCATCATCTTCAAAGACCTCCGCTGACCACAAGGCACAGTTTATGTGTGTCCACTCATTCTGACCAATGTACAGAAGACGTCCAGCATCCTAAAAGAGCCAATAATTCTATCAATACCTGGGTTTTAAGACAGATTCTTTAACACTATTATGAAGTCTACTTTAAATGACCTACAGTTAACAGCTACAGAGTACACTGAATATTTCTTGTGGACAGCTAAAATGAAAGACAACTGTTGTTAACCTCAACTAGCTGAGAGTCTGAAAATAAACTGAAATTTTTTAATGCAGAATTCTTTAGTCTGGACAATGCGCAGAATTCAGAAAAGAAATAACAGTTTTGCAAATATAAGCTGCATTTATTGGCTTAACTACATTAGAGATGGAAACTGAATATCTTCTATTTTACTGTACTTTTTGCTAGTTCTCAAGATGTTTGTAACTTTGGCGAGATCACATTTATTGGCTATTCCTAGCTAACTCGAGAAAGTAGTAACTGGCCATTGCTCTACAACACCATGTCCCTACTGGGATGTTAAAAAAAGATACTGATCCAATGGCAGTTGGAGTACAGAAACATATATCTAACTCAGAGAGGAAGACAATCTTAAGGTGGAAGTCAAAGGGAAGAAGTGTTATGACAGTAAGTTGCTTTTATTTCATACAAAACTACCAGTTTCTGCCAGTATTAGAGAGCACAGACATTAAGTCTCATTTCAGGGATGCCAGCCTGAGTCTGTGCTGTGCCTGGGATGGCAGGGAACTGGAGTTTTCTTGTGTATTCATTAATTCATGTGAGCATCATATCCTCCATCACACTCTGACCTAAGCCCTGTAGATGGTGTAGTTATAGTGGTTCAGGTTGTGAGTCATATGCTCCAAAGTACACAGTCTCCACCTTATTGCTAGCTAGCTAGCTTTTGTTAGATGTAAACCTCAAGATATTAATGGTAGGGAGTTGATTGTGTTGGTCATTATCTGATCCTAATGCGGCACAAAAAAGGCTGGAAGATTTCCATGTTCAACGACAAGATGCAACAATTGAATCAACTGCTTTAGAACTGTACAATGCTACAAATATGCTTAACAGTTTTAATTCACAATCTCAACTAAACAAAATTTTGAATTAAGAATTTATATGAATAATTCTTGGTTTTGAATTGAACGACAGTTGAAACAATTTAGAGCCCATCCCAGTAATACCTGCAAATAATAGGGTCTGACATTTAAAACGTGCCATTTGAGCTAACTTCCCAAAACAAAGACAGGCAACCCAAAATCATGTAACTCAATCGAGTTAAAAGGTTTTCAGCCTTGTTTCAAAGAATACTCCTACTTTTCATCACACATACAAAAACAAACAGCAGAACATTTGAGATTTGCAACCAGTATGCTTTGATGACTGGCTTGGAGATAAATGACAAACAGATACTCACGTTTCTGTTGTCATCTCCATATTTCAGGCAAAGCACACACTGCCTGTTGTCTTCCACATCAGGAGGGGGGTCGATATCAGGACTGTCCTCTCGGCTTCTGTCAGAGCCTTATAAAGACGACAAATTGGCATTACTCCATTATTTATATTAGTACTATTGCTGATAAATAATAATTACTGGTACTGGCTAACATTGCTGATTTTACATGAGGTACTGAACTGTCCTAATTGAAGAGAACAAAATATTGAATTATTCTGACAGTAATTAGTCAGAAATGAGTTCGCAAAAGAACAGATAGGAAAAGAATAGGTGATGGGGTAGTTTTTGTTAATATGGGATGGAAGAGGTATGACAGCAAGAAATAACTTTTAATCAGAAGATACAAAATATATACGATGCAGGTAAGAAACAAGGGAAGATGACACAGGTAGTAATAGTCTATAGGCCCCCTAACAGTAGCTATATGTTAGGACAGGGAATTAATCAGGAAATAACAAGGACATGTAAAAAGGCAGCACATTAAAGATGGGTGACTCCAATCTTAATGTAGATTGGGGAAGCCAAATTGTCAGAGGTAGCCATGAAGAATTCAAAGGGCGCCTTCTGGTCTGTTTCTGAGAAAAATAACTTGTGAATTCAACCAGGGGTCAGGCTATTGTAGATCTGATAATGAGGCAGATTTAATAAATGATCACAAAGTAAAAGATTCCCTAGGAAACAGTGACTATAATATGGTAGAATTTAGTATTCGGTTTGAGTATGAGAAATCTGGGTCAGAAACAACCATGGGTAAACTTAAATAAGAGCAATTTCAGAGGTATACGGGTGGACTTGGCTGAAGTGGGCTTGGAAAGGAGTTTAGCAGCAAAGACTGTTGAGATACAATGGCAGGCATTGAAGAAAGTAGTTTATAACTCACAACAAAGACATATTCAAGTGAGAAAGGATGATTCTGGTAAGGGGATAAACCAACTGTGCTTAGCCAGGAAGTGTTAAGGATAGCATCAAATCAAAGGCAAAACATATAATGCTGCAAATACTAGTGTTAAAAGAGTGAGCTGGGAAAGTTTTAAAAAAAAAAAAGGTAGAAAATAAACCTCATGGGTAAACTTCAAGTAATATCAAAACAATTGATAAGAATTTCTATAAATATATCAAAAGGAAGAGAAAAAGCAAAGTGAACACAGGGTCCTTAGAGAATGAGGCTGGGAACATAATGATGGGGAAACCAGGAAATGATAGAGGACTTTGCCTCAGCCTTCACAGTAGAAAACACGAACAACATTCTAAAATACAATGCAAACAAAAAGTAAAAGAGGGACAGGAAATAAATCCAATCGCTATCAGGATGGAAAATGTTTTAGGGAAACTAATAGGGCTAAAAGCTGACATGTCTTCTGGGCCTGATGGGACACATCTTGGGATATTAAAGCAAGTAGCTAGACACACAGCAGATGCACTAGTAGTAATATGCAAGGATCCTTCGACTCTGTACAAGTTCTGGAGGATCGGAAAACTATCAACATAACACCCTTACTCAAAAAGGAAAAGGAGATAATGAACAGGTAGCTCACTATCGGCCAGTTACCTTAACATCTGTTAGTAAGAAAAATGTTAGCGTCTCTGATAAAGGGTGTTAGCAAAGCATTTCGAAATGCAGGGTCAACGCAGCTTCATGAACGGGGAAAGCCTGCCTGATAAATTGACTAGAACTTTTTGAAGTAGTAGCATGCATGATAGATGAAAGGGTACCTGCAGATGCAATAAAATTGTACTTCCAGAACATGTTTGATAAGGTACTACACGTGCAACTACTTAAGACAGGCATCTATAGTGTTGGGTGGAGTATATCTGCGTGGATATTACATGAATACATTAGCTAACTAATAGAAGACAGAGAATTCAGAGAAAGGGGGCTTTTTCAGAATGGCAAACTGTAAATAATGCAGTGCCAAAGAGATCAGTGCTGGGACCAACTATTTACAATATATTTTAATGACTTGGATGAGAGAAGTGAATTTACTATTGCCAAGTCTGCAAATGTCAAAATAGGCAGAAAGGCAAATGGTGCAGATGATCCAGACAGGTTGAGCGAGTGAGCAAAAACTTGGCAAATGGAGTATAATGTGGAAAAATGTGAGGTCATGAACCTCGGCAAGAAGAACTGAGAAAAAAGGCAGCAGAAAGCTAACGTACAAGCTCAGCAGGTAATAGAGAACAAAAATAAAGTAGCCTTGCTAAAACCACATAAGGCACTAGTCAGACCACACCTAGAATATCACAAACAATTTTACCGCACTTATCGAAAAGATATGGCTGTACTGGAGACAATGTAGATAAGGTTCAGTAGGTTTATCACTGGTATGGAGGAATTTTCTTACAAGGACAGACTGAGTAGGTTTGGCCTACACCCAGGGGAGTTTAGAACAATGAAAAGATGACCTTACTGAAATGTAGAAGATTCTTGGGGATTTGACAGGAGAGATGTGGAATGATTGTTTCCCTTGAGGAAAAGTCCAGGACCGGAGGGCATAATTTTACAGTAAAGGGTTGTCCAATAAAGACAGAGATGAAGAGGAGTTTCTTCTCTGAGAGGGTAGTGAATCTGTGGCATTCTTGACCAGAAGCTGTAAGTACTATGTTCAAAGCTGAGATAGATAGATTTTTCATCAATAAGGGAATCAAGGGTTATGAGGGAAAGGCAATAAAGTGGAATTGAGTATTGTTAAATCAGCCATGATCTCACCAAATGACAGAGCAAACTCGATGGGCCAAATAACCTAGGTCATCTCCCACTTATTATGGTCTTCTACAGGGTATTGCTAAAAACATGTTACTGAGAGAACAGGCAGTCAATGTAGTTGTACTGATCCTCCTGGGATCAAAACTGAATCCAGTTTAGAGTGGAGCCACAAAACACACATTGGTCAAAAAGCCACAGTGATCCTGAACAAGTATGGGTTCAGGCCTATTTCTATTTGTGCGGGCTCATGGAACAAACAACAGGGACAGTTAGTTTGGACAATGATAAAATACTGGTTCAGCACCAGCTGGAGAACTGCATTCAATGCTTCGACAGTATACTTTAAGAATATGAAGATCAGTTCAGAAGCTATTTATTTGAATGAGAAAAGGATAAGCAAAATGCCCCGAAAAATAGGAGATGAGAAGACTTTTTTTTGAAAAAATGCATCTCAGCTGAAAACAGTTTCAATAATAACTTTTAATCCGATTCGTGATATACCGTTTCAGGACCACAGGGAATTGCACAGCAGGTGGGACACATTGCATGCGTTTCACAAACAGCTAGGACAGGCATGATGAGCGAACGGTGTTAAGATTCTGTGTCATACTGCCATTTAGCTTGTTGGAACAATTGTCATACACCACATACAATGAATGCACCTTCAAATCTTAGGTTAATAACTACAAAAATTCACATACAAACCTGAAATAATCAAAGCTACAAACAAAAATGGAACATTTGTATGTGCTTGTGGGGCACAGAGAAAAAGGAAAGAAATTCCTATTACTTTTCTATAGCTTACATGTGAAGCAATGCGACTTTGTATATTTCTATCAGGAGTGGAGGGAGAAGAAAGAAAACCATAACTGGAAGGTAGTTATTTTGGAATTAATTTTAATGTTTCACTATGATGGGATTGAGATCTAAAGCTGCGAGGTTCAAAATTAAAACGTTATCTACTGGCCCGGATGTTTAGAAGATGTACAATTTCAGTCAAGTTTCACATACTATTCACAAACACTGACTAGCAATTATATAATATCTCTGTTCCAGATGCACAAACACTGTCCAAACCACCTATGGATGCAAACACTAACGAAAGTTCTTTCCCGCTTCATAACTACTTCCCTCCAGCACCTGTGCCAGCTATATGTCTGCCTCGACCGGAGACTATGGTTGTTGCAGAATACTGTCCTACAGGTGACAATTGGCATAACTTTGCACATTACAGTACAATCTTAGAAGTCATCTCAGGTGATTTTGTTGCATAAATCACCAATCTGCTATGTTATGACCAGTGATGTTACATCAGTACAACAAGTGCACAACCAGGTGGATGAATGTTTGTAACAGCTTGACCAGAAAACAAAGGCTTGATTATAACATGTTAATGTTCAATATATACGTTGGTAATTTTACTGATCATAGTGGTTGTTGTTTTAACACTGCTTCAGCGAATATGCCAAAGATACTAGGACTAAATTTGCAAATATATGCTTTCATAACGGCGCCTCATGTACTGGAAGAGTGTGGTAGGAAATTATAGATACTATTCCCACAAACTAATGCCCATTTGAGTACACTGACAATAAGTTTTGGCACTATTGCAAGATTTCTGATTTATGCTTAAAAGGTGAGACTTAACTAAGGACCAGGCAGCAGTTGTTGAATCTAAAAATCTCCATTCACAATTTTGATATAAATTTATCACACTAAAATCTTAACTCTCATTTCCCTCTCCACAGATGCTGTCAGTCCTGATCAGTATTTCCAGCTATTTCTACTTTTATCTCCATTTACAGTTTCAACTAAAATAAAATACAATACCATATTACGCCTCTAGATGACTAGAATGTACTGCAAATAGTCCAGCACATATTCTTACAGGCCAAAATCTTGTGCTACTGGAGGGGGCAAGGTAGGAGAAGGAACTCCATTCAAATAAACAGAATGACTGTGTTCCTGATCCATCCCCTTTTCTTCTTTCACCTTTCTGCCATCACTGGTATTAAATTTTCAGCGGAAAGGTCCATGGCCAATCTTCGTATACCACTGCCAATAGAGAAGCTTATGTTGCCAATGAACGGAAGACTTCCATCAAAGACACAGTGCCTTTGATGAACAGATGGACATGGGCATGCGAGTGATGGTTACTGAAAGTCATGCCTCTGCCCTTCATTTCTGGCCATTCCTGCAAATCATTTAACTTGCTCCTGGATTCTGGGACTCTGGGGAACAGTGCATTGATATCATGCTCACAAAAGGGAAGTGCACAACTTAGTTGCTCATAACCCAAAATCACTGGCGTGTTATCCATAATTTTGTGATATGCATCAGCAGCATACTCTTGAATTATTATCCTCAAATAAAGTCCGAGTTGTCACTTGCCATTTCAATTCTCCCCCTGTAATATCATTCCGATTTCTGTCTTTGTTCCAATTATTTCAATGAAACATCTGAGGAACAGTACTGCATATTTTCACTGAGCATTTGGAAGTACTTTGTATTTTTATAAACTTTAGCAACAATTACACCTTCTGTATAGCAACAAGTGATGCCACGCTAGACCAAGTGTATTAGTCTAGGGATGATGGAAGAATGGAGTAAAGAGCAGGTGGCTGCTTAGTAAGTGGAACCTCCACCAAAAAACGGGATTTGCTTTATTCTTCGACTTTTTATTCCAACGGGCTACTCTGCTCCACTATACCTTTGTTCGTGTTTCACAATTCCCATTCTACTTGCTTAACCCTCATTTAGTTATCTCCCCTTAGCTATTCACACACACCTTGTTCACCTTTTATTTATTTGATCTGTTACACCTTTCTCTTCTGCAATTATTACTCTTGCTGTTTACTAGCCCCTATTCTTCACTTTACATATCGATTACTTTGCCTGCATGCGCTTAAGTCCATTTTAAAATAGTAACTTTCAGCTCTGAAGGGAGATCTGCAAATGGATACTCACTTTCCTTCTCTCCACAAATACTGATGCATTGAATCTGTTCAGAATTTTCTTTTGTTTCAGATTTCCAGATTTCTGTTGTATTTGGCATTCTGACTTGGAAACATCTGATGCTGATACAAAATGCCTGAGGTGGTAACTATGTCCAGAACCAAAGATTCCTGAACAATGAACCTCACCCCAAACACCACCACCAGAACACTGAAGCGCCATCCCACACCTCTCTTGCCCTGGCCACTGCAGTACAGAGGTAACTGGAATGGGATGGGATTAGACCATTCAGCCTCTTGTACTTGTTTAGTAAGAACGCAGTGAATGTGTACTTTAACTCCATTTACCCATCTCTGTTCCATTTTTCTTGAATCCCTTTTTGCCTAAAGATACAAAAATAAAACAGCACAGTTGTAATGTTTAATATTTTAATCATACCTGCTGCAATTGCAAGGGGTGGTGGGGGCAGAGGCACTGGTGAGTCAGGATCTCCAGGTCCTTTTGGTTGTGGTGCAGGTATGATCTTCTTGGTAAGTGTAGGCTGTTCTGTGCGAGTGCTCTCCTCCCGTTCTTGCCACTGAGCATAGTTGTGATCTGATGATGGTGGCAACACAGCGTTTGGTAGCATTCCACTACTGAAACAGCAAAATACTGACAGTAAGCATTTATGGCAAATATGCTTCACTGAACGCTGATCAGACAAAGCAAATCCTTCAGTCTGTGAGGTTGCCTGGTTGGATCAGTCTGCTTATCTGAGAAAGTAGGACAGCAAGCCACAAGCCAGTGCAAGTGGCAGGTAATCATTTTCAAGTTGGAAAACAACACAAAATCTCAGGGTTGCTAACTTAAGTTTAGTAGAAACCAAGATACCACAATTTGTACAGGGCTTATTCCATTTCCTCATTTTCCTTTCACTTCAGTGTACCCAAGGTGTGGATTTGCTCTGTGCTATAGTTCAACTAACATCAACAACCCTCCAGCATATCATTTCAATGTCCAGTATTTATGCACAAATCTAAAGTCAGTCTCAACAGTTTGTTCAGGGATAACAACCAAGCCCTGCACTATTCTTTCCAGATGTTTGCACACAACCACTTCAAGCAGGAATAGAAAGTTTGTGTAATTACACACTCTCCAACACAGTAGACCAGTGACCCTAATGCTCCTCCTTTTGAGATTAGCTAACTCAGCAGAGACCATGACTCAAGATCATGATGGTATGCATGATTCAATTTTCCTCCGTAAAATCAGTACAGTATTTCTTATTTTTTACACAAACGGCAGTTGAAGGGTTATTCAGTTAGGAAGTAACCAAAGCAGACTTGAGAGACAGAACATGACCAAAGAAAGATATGGAATTGACAGAAGATGCTGTGGCAAATGCTCTGAAAATAATATTGATTTCTTTTTGTCCAGGCCCACAGAATTGAAAATGACGTACCCTCACACAAAGGTCTAGTTCATGTTCATACTTCCTGATTCTTGCATCTGAGTTAGGGGGAAAGTAATTCAATTCAAAAAAAGTATTTTGAGTTTTGTCTAGATAATATAATTTGATTGACAAAGTGATTCACAGCTTCTCTTGCAAAATCTAAACGTTGAACGTTTTCAGAGAGATACTGGAGAAGATAAGCTAAGATTCTGTGGGCAATTGAAAGAACCACAATTTAAGGTTAATAACATGGAACAGAGTTTTGTCCATGCAACTGATGTGGCTGTGCATTATTTAAAGCTACCTTGAGGGAAGGTAGTTAAGCTTCTGCTAACTGTGAAATCTAGTGTGTTAATCAGCAGGAGGTTTCTTTGTCCATGTTTAACCTGAAGCTGCGAGACTTCATGGAGGTCCAGAGTCAAAATTGAGGACTACCAGGGCAACTCCCACCTGATTGTATACCACTGCGCCGCCACCTCTGCTGCATCTGTCCTGCTGGTAGGACAGGGCATATCCAGGGGTGGCGATGGTGGTGGCTGAGACATTGTCTGTAAAGTATGATTCCATGAGTATGACTATGTCAGGCTGTTGCTGGACCAGTCGGAGACAGCTATCCCAATTTTGGCACTAGCCACTGGACGTTCATAAGGGAGGACACTGCAGTGTCAACATGGCTGTTTCTGTGCTTAAGTTGATGCCAGGTGATCCATCCGGTTTCATTTCTGAGACTTTTTAGCGATTGCTACAACTGAATGGCTTACTAGGCCATTTCGCAGGGCAAGAGAGAGTTAACCACATTACTGTGGGCCTGGAGGCACACGAAGGCCAGACCAGATTTCTTTCCCTGAAGGACATCAGTGAACCAGTTGGATTTTTCCGACAATCAACAATGGTTTCATGGACATCAGAAGATTCTTAATTCTAGAATTTTTTTTATTGAATTCAAACCCCACCTTACCCAACCTGAACCCCACCTTACCCAACCTGCCCACTCCCCCATTACCTCTCACACCGTTCCCACGTTCCTGTTCCCTCTCCCATCCTGCCGACTTCTACAACCTCATTCACTAACACGACAAAAGCTGCTTAAATATTCCAAAGTTTTTCAACAGCTAGTGAATGAATACTTAACACAATGCAGCATCTAGTATCATAAAATGACAGTATAACTCCTCTTCCCGCCATGGCCTAACAATCCAGCACTATGGAGGATCCCAAATTCAGGTGTGCTTCACATTTCTGTAGCAACTGCGGATCAGAGGATCCAGCCAAAATTGGGAACTCCATCAGAGCAGAAACATATGACAGTGAAGCAGTAATCTGATAGCAATTGCTACACTTTAACCAAAGGCAAATGATATATTACTTATATCTACTTTAAAAATGAAGTTTTTTAAAGAAACATTGCCAAACATTAAACAGGGAATGAAGAAAATCTAGCAAATTCAGAGAAACAGCAGGAAATGTCACTCCCTTAAAACTGTGCAAATTAACTATGCTTTTCAATATGATAGTGGAAGTGTTTGAAGCTTTATCACAACTTCAATTCCAGCTAATGTCTGAGTTAGACTCAAATCTTCATTCATGACCTCAATTCAAATTTAAATCCACCCATGTCCAACTGAGATGCTAATCTCCATTTTTGTGCCATGTTGGGATTCAAAAATGCGTTCCTGTCCAATGGAGTTCCAACTCCATTTAAGCTCCTGAACCTGATGGAGGATTCAGGTCAGTTCTCAAAATTATGATAGCAATTTTTTAACTCTGTCCCATATTAAGATGGAGGCATGCATTCCTTCCCCAACCACTCTTCAATTGCCTTCTAGTCTCTACCACAAATATAGAATTAATATATGTCACCCTAGTACCAGTAATTTCATGAATTATACAGCACAGGAACAGGGCTTTCAGACCAACCAGCATGTGCTAGATTTTACACAACACATGGGCCTCCTCTCGTTTTATCTACATTACGTTAGCCTTTCAACACACGCTGCATTTGTTTAGACCCAAGATGTTGACCAATGAAGATTCTGTTCAGTTTACATTCCCATGTTTCCAAAGCCGATTTATAGATCCATTTTTCTTTAGGTCTGGATTCTTGCCTTCAGCGAGAATCCAAACTCTTTCAACATTTCCAACTGAGATTCTAAATGTCCAGTTCTCAGTCTCTTAAGTACACAATGAAAATTTCTAAAGTTTCTTTGAGTTATATTTGTAGTTTCAAACCTCTACGTAAAAGAATTCAATATTTTTTACATTACTCACTTTGGGGTAACCTTGTTGGGCTCCCAGAATTTGGACTCCTTCACACGAAACCATGGGAAGAATCGCTCCATTTGCTATAGAAAAAGTCAAAGTACTTAAGACAGTAATCAAACAATGGCAAATTGTCAGAATTATTGGAAAACACATTGTCCTCCTGTTACTCCATTCCAGTTTTCTCCCTCCTGTGATCTTCAGACTCCACCACATCATGCAATCAAACTAAGAATGCTAACAGCCTGCTCCCAGAAACCAAGTAAAAACACTAGATCATAAATAAACATTTCAATTTCAAAACTTAAAAAGAAAATTTTGAAGGACAATTAGAATCTTAATGATTTTGAGAAAAAAGAAACTGAACTATTGCAGCCAAGAAAGTTAAGGTCAAGATGAAATATCCAATTGCTCAGCAACAGAAAGAACAATGTGATCGCTGTAATTAGTCTTCAACAGTTGTAGCTGATTGCCAGGAGACAGGATTTTCACAGTATGCTTGCTTCTTACAATTTTAAATATTGCAAAATTAACCTAGTCTTGAGATCAAGGCAGGAGATATTGCAAACTGCAGATAAAACAACTTACTCGTATAAAGAATGCTTTGACCATGCTATTGGCCTTTTTGTTTTCAGGCTGCCCTCCATCGCAATTCATTGCTGTTTGAATGATCTTCACAATATCATCGCTGAACTCCAGCTGAACACACAATAGCGGATAATCAGCAAATGCCAACAGATAGAACACTTTAATTACATACAGAGAGGAGAGTGACTCATGCTGCAGATTTCATGATGCTGAACTTGCAGATTGCCCAAGATTTTTCCTTGTGGGCTACAGGTTAATCAAAACACTTTTCTCACAAATCTACGAGGACAAAATAAATGGCAGCCTTACCACTGAATGATATCTCTCCTGTTCCATCTTCCTCTTTACCCCTTCTAGATCAAGAGGTTGTTCATCTTGTTGGTTTACTTCTATAAGGACTGGAGGATCAGGACCTTCTGGCGAGCTGCGGACTGAGACAGCTTCCTCAGTCTCTGGGTCTAAATCAGGCGGCTTGGCTGCCTGATAAGGAGAAAGGAAGATTCAGCTGCATCACTTCTCACACCACCTACTTACCTCAACCAAGCTTACGAAAACATCAAATCTATGCTACTCAATTCAGGTGATATATGGAGTCATTCACATTAACAAGTGAACCCCTGGCCCAATGAGTTCAGCTCTAAGCTGTATTTCATAATCCAGATCAAATACTAGTAAATTCTAATGAAAACTGGTATGTGGCGTTAAGTCACAGATCAACCATGATCTCAGTGAATGCAGAAAAAGATCAAGGAACTAAATTAATAAATCCTTTTCCAAAATTCTAACTTTGACTGCTGCTCTCTAGTAACACATTGCAGACAGTGCATTTACATGCAATTACTGCAACCTCCACACCATCACAGCCACCAACTCTACTAGTAACATCTGAAGCAAATGTCCTGGAGTCAAAGTAATTCCCTGAAGGGGAAAAAGTTAAACATTAAATGGCAACAAGAACAAACTTGTCACTAGCTTTCCTGAGGACATGATTGACAGGTGAATGTGCCCCAAAATCCCCCAGATTGTTAGGGATAATCCACCCATAGGGGTAACACGTCACAGAAAAGTTGGCCCCATAAACACAACAGAAGGAAATAATGAGAGCTTCCCCTCAATTACAGTCTGGTTCTCCTCGGTGTTTACTGCGATCAAACAGGGGCGGGGAGGCTGGAAGAGGTGTGAAGGAAGAGATGGAGGGGAAGGAGGCTGCAAGAGAGGTGTGGACAGAGAGGCCAGTTGCATGGGTGGGGGAGGATGCTACAAAGGAGAGAACAGTTTTAAACCCGTTAACGAAGGAATAATCTAACAACTGGCATTCAAAAGAGCTTTAAATCCCTGAGGCAATTAATTCCTTGCAAATTAATGTGAAATCTCTAATTTTGTATAGGTTCAGGGACTAATATACTTGGGAAAAAATATAGCAGAATTTAATGAACACTGTTAACTGTTAAATTTAATCTGAGATTGAGATCAGAGATGCACTAAATCAGGGTGTCATTGTCTGGTTAATATATTTCAGCTTTGTGCACGTGCAATGGAAATGCATTAGCTGTGACCTCCCCAGTTGCAGAAGGTGCACTGGGAGTGGTTATTTTCACGTGTAAAAGCACGTGTCTGTTGCTTTAAAAAAAACTTTATTAACTTTTCCCTGTTCTCTTGTACTAATTAAATACTGTGATGTCTAGGAATTCCTTGTGTTGTGTTGTGTTTTAAGTTTAATGGTATGTTGATGGTTATTGAGGATTTGGTTGAAATGATGAAATTCTGCTGACTGTCCAGCTACTCCAGATGTCAATAACAAGGCCACCTGCATTTGTCTAACAGGACATTACTAATATTCAGTTAAGGAGATGAAAAAGTAGTCCCCAAAAACCAAAATTCTCTCCAAGAAAAATTGTGACCCCTAAAAATCATTTTTGACTTGTATTACCACGGATATAGCAGATACACAAAGCATGATCTCATGAATAGCAATGAGATAGATGACCAGTTAATGAAGAAACGATTATTGGTCAGGAACCTTCTACTTAGTCTTACTGAATATTCAAATATTCCCACACAAATATTTATATCAATTTGAACAGGCACGTAAGCCTTCAGTTTAACATTTTGTACAAAACAGCACCTCTATCATTCTATTATGGTGTTTTGCATAGAGAATGTTATGACAAACACAAGTTAAACTCTGTGATGAAAAGTGTGAATGTCATACACATTAAGAATTATTTTAAGAGTCTGGAATTACTTTAATGAAGCTTTCTGTTTCGCCCCAAAATAAAAGGCAGGCCAGACAGCCCTTTTGGACCTTATCCAGTATGTGTCAGAGAGTAGGGAAATCCCTTGGAATATTAATGAAAAATTGTTTATTCTGAAGCAGTTTACAACAGGGGTAGTAAACATTCAAAGTTATTAACTTATTCTTCATTCAAGATTATTGAGGATTAACTTTCAGCTTAGAAAGAACCCCAGAGACAAAGTTTTTAGGGCAGTTCAGAGGAGACCTGACTGGGGTCAGAAACAAATACAGTCTCTCACAGAGAAAGGATTTTGTTTTTTAAAAAGCAGTTAAGAAAATGAGTTACCTCAGTAGAAAAGGTTGTGCAATTTCCAGACCAGGGTAGTTTGCTTAAAAATCTGCAGTTTCTTAGAGTTTCATGCATATTCACGTAGGAAGACGTCATTGCTCACAGGACAGAAACTGGGAAGAATCAGCTAAGACAAATTTCAAGTTTTGATATAAGAGGTGTAATTTCTTTGGATTTGAGTCACTGTAAAGTGTCATTGGAGTTGACTAACTTGAGTACAAAGTCACTGACAGAAAGAGAGGGCAAGTTTATTCTCTCAAAGGATTGAGCGTCTTTCGCAACTCCTTGCCATGGTGGCAGAGTCCTCATATATTAAATGTTTATTTATTTGAGATAGTGTTAGGGAATAGGATAAAAATTCATCCTGTTGGGTGTTTAAAGATTTTCCCGACTGTAGATAGATTGGGTCCTTTCTTTTGGTTTTTGTCTTTTGTGTAGTGAACTTGTGTTGCAAAAGAAACTCTGCAGTCTGGAGTAACTAGATTTCAGCAAACAACAACCAGATTAAGCAAAATAGAAAAAAAAAAATCCATCAGGTCAGATTTCATTCCGAGATCTGACTTGTCAAGTAATACCATCAGCTGGAATCATAAAAGACTCTCTTTTCATAATGCGTTGGATAAAGACAGTATCAGACCACATTTGAAAACATTTTAGCATTCAATCTACAACAGCCGAGTTTATTCAAAGTTCCACTTTAGTTCAACTATTAAACACAGTGCTAGTTATGCAATACCCAAATGGGAAAACTATGTAATGGAGCTTATTAAACTCATAAGCAGAGCGTATATTATGTAACCAAAAGAGGGTCTTTTATCCACATCAGCAGTTTACTCAAGATGATAAGCAATTCAGCCAAATAAAACCAGTTTTAAAATTACAAATTCATGTCTGACAATAAAAATAGGAGCCAATGCATGAAGGCCTGTACCTCCAACAATGTAAAATATCTGCTTCTTAATGCTTTGTTGACATTAGTGAAGCAGCAGTTCAGACTCACCTGCCTATAGCGTAACAAGTGGCTTGTAGTCCTAGAGTTTAGTAGTGCAGTCAGAACTTGCTTTAAAGAGATTTGCAGTTCCTTTCCCAATGCCAGCCGCCATTCTGCAGGATGCTGCTCTGTACAGTTTATACATGTGTATGCCACACTTTCTGGAAGATTTGACAAGATCTCATACATCTCATCTGTAAGGAGATACAAACAAAGAGAAAACATGTCATAACTTGATAGCTGATTCATTATGTGCCTGATACAACAGCCTCTTCATACTTTTCAAGGCAATGAACTCAATGCTTCTAAATATCTTTGTGATATACACATGGACATAGCAGTATGATAGAATAGATGCAAACTATTGAAGCAGTTATGCAACGTGACAAAACACAGCTGATCTCCTTGATGGCTGAATAGAGCAGATTCTACATAATGAATCACAATTGAGTGGGAGGGAAACCAATTTGCACAATCATACCTAGGGCAAGTCCCTGCATCTTCTAATGGGGCTTTCACCATGGGAATGGGCCTTAGATGGTGAGGAGTGGGGTAAACTGGAGTACAAAGTCACTTACAGAAATAGAGGACAAGTTTATTCTCCCAGAAGGTTGAGAGTCTTTCAGAACTCCTTGCCATAGAGACCTGTGGGGGAAAGAGTCTTTGTCTATATTTAGGGCTGAGGCAGATAGATTCTTGATCAGTAGAATAGACCTACTCCTTTTCCTCCTTCTTAGGGTCTTTTGGTCTACGCATTGAAATAATAATGCTGTAGAGCAAAATGGAACGAATGAGACAGGGCATGGGGCACATACAATGCAAGTTGAATGAACACAGCATCTGCTCAAAACTGACCAGTAAACTCAATAAATTGGTTCTTCTACACATACCTGGTTAGACCACACTTGGAATATTGCGTTCAGTTCTGGTCGCCTCATTATAGGAAGGATGTGGAAGCTTTAGAGAGGGTGCAGAGGAGAATTACCAGGATGCTGCCTGGACTGGAGGGCAGGTCTTATGAGGAAAGATTGAGGGAGCTAGGGTTTTTTTCATTGGAGCGAAGGAGGATGAGAGGTGACTTGATAGAGGTGTGCAAGATGATGAGGCATAGATAGAGTGGATAGCGGAAATGACTATTACGAGGGGGCATAATTTTAAGGTGACTGGAGGAAGGTACAGGGGAGATGTCAGAGGTAGGCTCTTTACACAGAGAATGGTGGGCGTGTGGAATGTGCTGCTGGCAGTGGTAGGGGAGACAGATACTTTAGAGACTTTTAAGCGACTCTTGGATAGGCACATGGATGATAGTATAATGTAGGGGGCGCGGGGTAGTTTGATCTTAGTAGGATAATAGGTTGGCACAACATCGTGGGCTGAAGGGCCTGTACTGTGCTGTACTATTCTATGTTCTACGTTGTATGTAATTTCTGAGGCAAACTATGAGCGGTCAGCCAACTCATGGTCACGACAACATTTAAATAAACTAGTAAATGATTTAAAATCTCTTCATTCACAATCAAAGATGAATGGGCTTACTGGGATCAGCAAGCCATGTGCTAGCCTTAAAAAATTAATGGCAGAGAGAAATGTCAAATTGGCTAATATGTAGAATCTGCATGCCCAACCTCAACCCTCCATTTTTTGCAGCAGCAGCGGGAGCAGTAACAGCGAGGACCAGGGGGCTGCCGGGAAGGTAAGTTCTTCAATTCGGCAGCGGAGCTGAGTGGGAGCGGTTGAATTGCGCTCTCGGAAGTTGAGTGAACTGATATACTTGGGCAGTGGCTAAACCCGTTTCTTTTACTTACCAGCACATGATAAAAAAAAAGGAAGAGTGATTTGGTACAAATTTTTTTTCATTTCATTTATCCAATATTTGACATTATAGTAGGACTAAATTAAGCTCAAGACTAAAAATGGCAGGAGATCCCAGACCCGTGTTATGCTCCTCTTGCTCAATGTGGGAGCTCAGGGACGCGACTGATGTCCCCGACTCCTACATGTGCAAGAAGTGTGTCCAGCTGCAGCTCATGTTAGACCGCATGACGGCTCTGGAGCTGCGGATGGACTCACTTTGGAGCATCCGCGATGCTGAGGAAGTTGTGGATAGCACGTTCGGCAAATTGGTCACACCGCAGATTAGGATTGCTGTGGGAGAAAGGGAATGGGTGACCAAACGGCAGAAAAAAAGCAGGAAGGCAGTGCAGGTGTCCCCTGCAGTCATCTCCCTCCAAAACAGGTATACCGTTTTGGATACTGTTAGGGGAAATGGCTCACCAGGGGAAGGCAGCAGTAGCCAGGTTCATGGCACAGTGGCTGGCTCTGCTGTACAGAAGGGCGGGAAAAAGTGTGGAAGGGCTTATAGACATAGGGGATTCGACTGTAAGGGGAGTAGACAGGCGGTTCTGTGGTCGAAAATGAGACTCCCGAATGGTATGTTGCCTCCCAGGTGCACGGGTCAGGGATGTCTCAGATCGACTGCAGGACATTCTGAAGGGGGAGGGTGAACAGCCAGCTGTCCTGGTGCATATAGGCTCCAATGATATAGTTAAAAAAACAGGATGAGGTCCTACAAGCAGAATTTAGGGAGTTAGGAGCCAAGTTTAAAAAGTAGGACCTCAGAGGTAGTGATCTCAGGATTGCTACCAGTGCCACATGCTAGCCAGAGCAGAAATGAAAGAATAGGCAGGATAAATGAGTGGCTCGAGAGATGGTGCAGGAGGGAGGGGTTCAGATTTTTGGGACATTGGGACCGGTTCTGGGGGAGGTGGGACTATTACAAATCGGACGGTCTACACCTGGGCAGGACTGGAACCAATGTCCTAGGGGCTGCTTTTGCTAACGCTGTTAGCTTAGATAGAGGATCTGGATCGGCGCAGGCTTGGAAGGCCAAAGGGCCTATTCTTGTGCTGTAATTTTCTTTGTTCTTTGTTCTCCCCAAAAAACAAAACAGTAACATTTATGAAACTATCCCCTTCTAATTATCATTGTAGCTTCTCTTGCCGAACTCTGATTAAAATTTGGAACACAACCTTTTTTTTGACAGAAAACCCATTAAGTATTTACGGAAGAAATTTTATATAGGGGCAGGTGGTCCTTCAACTCAGGTCTGGTCCAGGATTCATTAACATCATAGCAAATGCGCACTGAATTCTTATCTTACTGTTTTGGTTCTGTAAACCTAATTCAACAAAAATAATCAAGCTGGTCAAAAGAAAGTACAACATTGGGATAGAGCAAGTTAGATCAAAGAAGCATTTAAAAAGGCAGCTATCAATATCCAAGAATAAATTCATGCAATTACGCATCTTCTGATTTATACATAAATGAATTTCTTTTGAAAGTGTACTTTTTATAATAAATAGTAGCAAGCAGCTGTTAGGAAAATTAATGCAAAAACCAAAACCCTCAGGAGAAGACAGAAGCAGGTTGGGGCAACAATGAGGGGGCAAGTAATGTAGCATTTTTGTTTGGAAGATTTGTTAGTGCTGTAATAAAAATAGTAGGGTCAGAACTTAAGCCGGTTGGGGTTACATACGAAACAGCTAAACAGGAACTCAAGGGACTGATGTTATTTAACAGATTATATTATGCATTTATACTTTATGTTAAAAGGAAGGTCTATATAAACAAATCCTGAACTAAGTGAATCAGGCTAGCCAGCCAGACATCACATCTCCTTAATGGCATCATGTGTTTCAAATACAAAACATGTCCTGCATTTTAAAATACCTGACAAGCTTTCACACTTTGCATGAACCCATCGATCACATTTTCCACACTGCATCATCTTGCTCTCATAATCATCATCATCGTAGCACTTGTCACACAGTGGGCAGAAGTTTCCTAAAAATAAACAACAATTTGTATCAACACAGCTGTTGTCCTTTCACAGCTTTCCTGATCATCCTCAGCACTGCTGACATAAGTTTTGTATATAATTTTATTAAAATGGACTGGGTCTATGCTTCCCAACCTACATAGCTGCATGCAATATCTTACAACATACCTAACAGAGGCTAATCAGCCATATGATTACAGGAACAGGCCAGGGCCACTGAGGCTTAGGATAAAAACAATAAATGCAGTGTGGATTTTTATGCCAAGATGGAAAGGAAGCACCGAATGAAAATCCCTAAATAAGTTCCATACAATTAAAACAGAACTTGACTTATTTAGTTACTGCAACCATGTGAAACTGGGAAGAATGCTACATAAGTTTCCTTTGTAAACAGGACAGACTTGTGACTTTCAGTCTACCCATGCGGATGCTCACTACAACTTACCTCCTGACAAGTTCCAAATAATACTAATATTATAATTAAAGAACAATTTAATCAGGGCACAGGAAAATAACAAACTAATGATGTAAATTTTAGAAAAGTCAACATGGTCCTTCCCTATCAACACATATGGTTCAGGCAGTGACTAGCTGCTTTAAGCAACCAATTGAACGAGTTTTCGACCGTTCCCTGACATTTCGAAGGCTCCCTTGTTGAAGTTGGCCTCATCTGAACATATGCAAAGGAGAAGGAGGAACTGAGAGAATGGGATGGAGTCTTTACAGGAAGTGGGGTGTGAGGATATATAGTCCAGGTAGCTGTGACAGTCAGTGGGTTTATAATGGATATCAGTGGCCAGTCTATCCCCAGAAATGGGAACAGAAATGTCGAGGAAGGGAAGGGAGGAGTCAGAGATAGACCAGGTGAAAGTGAGGGCAGGGTAGAAATTGGAGGTGAAATTGATGAAGTTTTCCAGTTCCAGATGAGAGGGAAGCAGCACCAACGATATCATCGGTGTATCAGAGAAAGAGTTGTGGGTGGGAGCCAGAATAGGACTGGAACAAGGAATGTTCCACATACCCCACGAAGAGACAGGCATAATTAGGGCCTATGCAGGCACCCATGGCAACCCCTCTTACCTGAAGAAAATGAGAGGAGTTGAAAGAGAAGTTGTTAATGGTGAGGACAAGCTCGGCCAAGCGGAGGAGGGTGGTGGGGGGTGGGGATGGTTCAGGTCTTTGCTCCAGGAAGAAGCAGAGAGTCCTAAGACCCTCTTGGTGGGGAATGGATGTGTAAAGGGATTGCACATCCATGGTAAAGAGGAGGTGGCTGGAGCCAGTAAACTGGAAGTTTTGAAACTGGCGCAAGGCGTCAGATGAATCATGGATGTATGTGGGTAGGGATTGGACCGGGGGGAGAAGACTGAGTCAAGGTAGGAAGAGATGAGTTCTGTGGGGCACGAGCAGGCTGAAACAATGGGTCTGCCCAGGCAGTCCTGTTTGTGGATTTTTGGCAGGAGGTAGAAACAAACTGTACGGGGTTGGGGGACTATTAGCTTGGAAGCAGGGGTGGAAATCACCAGGTGAAATGAGATCCATAACCACAGTGGATAAAATGGCCTGATGTGCCATGGGGAGGTCATGGTCCAGTGGAAGGTACGAGGAGGTATCTGAGAGCTGGCGCTCAGCTTCTGCAAGGTAGAGGTCAGTATGCCAGACTACAACAGCACCACCCTTATCGGCAGGCTTGATGACAAAGTCAGGGTTAGATCTGAGTGCAGTCAGTTTGGAGGGAGATAGGTTGGATTTGTTGAGGGGGCAGTGAAATTGAGGCGACTAATGTCACGTCGACAGTTCTCAAAGATTCTGATGGGGCTTGACAAGGTAGATGTTGAGAAGATATTTCCACTAGTGAGGGAATCTCAAATTAGGGGACATAGTTAGTGAACACGGGGACACTTGTTTAAAGCTAAGATGTGAAAGAATTTTTCTCAGACAGTAGTGAACATCTGGAAATCTCTACCCAAGAACTGTGGAGGCTAGCTCACAAATTATTTAAAAGAGGAGGTAGATGGATTTTTTAAATATCATGGAGTTGCAGGCTGTGAGAAGGTGGTGCGAAAGAAGAGTTAAAGCCTGGAGTAAATCAGCCATCATCTTATTGAATGGCAGGGCAGACTTGAAGGTTGAATGGCCTTCTCATGCTCATATTTCTTTTCTTCTCACTTCAACTTTTTGTCTACCAACCACATTGTTAAATAGGCCATTTTTCTAACCTGACTGAAAAATAAACCATGACCGTAGCCAGCTTTTTGCTACAGCATTTATAGCATTAAAGGATCTACATAATTTTCTACCTAAGTGAAGCAAAGATGTGTATTACAAAGTATGATACCCCTCTCCTCACGAAACAGCAGATTACCCGACTTATTGTGAGCAACTATATATTAAACAAACTCCAATTCACAGTTTAAGACAGTGTCTGAGCTACTTAAACAGTTGCCTTGGAATCACTGCTCGGTAGTTCCATTTACTATGAACAAAATAAATGTGTGCACTTACCTTTATCAAACAGCTTTGCACATTCGTGACATAAAGAAAAATCATGTGACCACTGCGCATCCCAGCCTTTCCCTGGCGTTGTGGCTCCACAACTCTTACATCGGACACACTTTGTACAGATCTATAGCAGAGGAAACCTTTATTAGAAATGCCAATTAGCTACTCTTCAGACCCCTATCATATCCCATCCCGGAATCTGATGTACATTTCAGAGTGTACCCTTTTACCACATAGCATTTGTTAACAGTTCCCTGGGGTTTGGAGATCCACAGGCATCACAGTTGCCTTTACTATTGTCTGCGACTGGGAATACCTTGCACCTTCTTTCCAGTGAACAATCTGGCCTTCCTTTCATCTGTAACTGACCCAACACCCAGATATATTGTTCAACAGGTTTCAGCATGCATTATATGACCCATTCAGTTTACTCTAAGTTAAAGACCATTTCATGAACCAATGAGCTGCTGCACTCTGCTGTCTGTCATGTACAGATTTAATGATGTTCATGTAAAAGGAGGGCCCATTGGTAGCTGCATAGGAAAAATCTAGCCTCAACTTGTCATACTGATAAATGGAAAGCAGCAACAGCATGACATATCTTGTACAAGCATGGGAAAAGCAAAGGTGAGACTTTCTCAAGCGACCAGGAAAGATAATTGTAGAGAAATTTAAGGCAGGAGGGGCCTTAATTTGGTAGGTGAAGGAAATGTCAATCCACTAATGTATTTAATTGACAAACACAATAAAATCTCCCCACAAAGAGTCTTGTTCTTGCACTAAATATTCTGTAACAAAATGTCATGGAACGCAATGTTCAAGGGGCATTTCCACCTCTTCCAGAGCAATTTGGGATGGATATTGTTGGTTTAACCAGGAATACGCCCATCCCACAAACACACAGAAAATCTACACAAGTATAAAAGCAAAATACTGTGGATGCCAGAAGTATGAAGAAAGTGAAAATACTTGAATGATGAGCTTACTTCTGTTGATGTCATCAAAACAAAATATTAACTAATTCTCTCTCCACAGATGCACTAAACATTTCCAACATTTCTCTCGTACAAATACATTTGCACATTGGTTTTAACTAGCTGGATTGACTAACAATTCTTGAATTTGTGACCAAGTCACTTTGTTTTAATCATATATTTGTGTTGTCATTAGCAATTCCCTAATGACAAGAAGAACATCAATGCTCTTAAAATGGGTAAGGAGGCAAGAAACACAGTTGATGGAATTTAAGCCATGAGGTAAAACAAGTCACAGTTTTTCAAGAGAAAACTACACTTACCCATACTTTCTTTTTCTTGGTTGGCTTTGTTGGGTAGTTTGGTCCCAAGCACTCTGGATGATAGCTGTTTCGACACTTGCCACACTCCAGAAGCTGCTGTGTAAAAATAAAAGTTTTAAGAGACTGCATTTTATTTATGATAATCAGTCTTTGAGAGACGGAACTAATATTTAGGATTATTTCCCTTGCTTAGAGAAATTCTCTTAAATACTGCACCATTTTCCATCCGATTCTCACCTGTTGGAACAAATAAAAATAGAAAATGTTTATGTTACAAAAGGTCCATCAATCCAAAAAGGAAGAATACAAGCTAAGGTTTCAAGCCTAAGCTTAATCAAGGGGCAAATGGACTGAACAAAAAGGTGGGAAATGCAGATAAACATGAAGAATTCATTTTAAATAAAGACCATCTAATCCTCTGGTGCTAAATGCATTAATGCAGTAAACAAAGCAGCATTAGGACAGAAATGTTCCCTTCTATCACATGCTATTTCTCCTCACTAGCTCCTGTTCTTAAGTGAGCCTTCATGGGGAGACAGGAAACAGAACAGAAACACTTCCAAGTGGGCAGAAAAATCCCCAGAGTTAACACCTCTAAGCCTCATGTTTTGGCAGCTGCTCTTTGGCAGCAAATGCAAAGTGGGCAGGTAATTAATTTGTCATCTACATTCAGCTGATGTTTATCGCCAGAAACAAAGACTTAACAGTGAAGATAACTTTTATAACAGAGAAGATAACTTTTATAACAGAGTATGTGCTCTATAAAATGGCAAACATTTACTTTGAAAGAAATAATTTATGCTGAAAGCCTACTTTTTTTTTTACAGCCGTCAATGTGTCAGCAACGAACACAACAAAGTTGAAGTTCAAAAAGAGAAGAGAATGTGTCTTTATTTAGAAGTAGAAGCAACAATCAGGGGCAGACAGCAGTGATTAATAGTTCTCCCAGGAGTCGAGAAATTTTAAACTCCAGAGGGAGTTAATCAGCTCCGCAAACGCAAAATTCCTCTATATAACACTCAGGGGGCATGAATAAGGAGGTCTGAGATAGGATTTGAAGTTTGCTCCTGCCTAGGTTATTTTAAAAAAAAGAAAAGAATTCTGTTAGAAGTCACCCTCAAACCACTTAATTCTTGTAATCACTGACATGTACATGACGAATGAACCAGTTAGACATGTGAATCTTGCTAGCAATACACTGTTTGGTTCTATTGAGTTGTAGTCAAATTTACTTATTACGTATTAAAATTAGAAGAAGCCAGAATATGAACTTTGCAGCAGTATCAGGGGCAAATCCAAAATGCCCACCTGAAACAATCATGCGCAGCTTACCATTACCTTTGAAGATTTATTCTGTCGGCAACATACGTGACAGAACTTGCAGCGCCGACAACACCAATTCTCCCACTGCTCCTCTAGGGGTCGCTCATTTTCCTCCAAGCAGAAGAGATGGAAAGGCTCACAGCACACCTGACAGTAAACAAACTGCAAACAAAACACAAAGTAAAATAAATCAGCCAACTATACACTCTTCAGGTGACAATGATTGGTCCCCTGAGTCTGTCAGATTTGTAACAATGTGATAAACCCTAATGTGCATTCAGCCAAATTTGTTTGTGTATACAAACTCTTCATTTCTTCCCACCCTTCAAGGGCTGTTCATTTCCACAATGGAAATATGTTGTGACTTTTCCATTAGCTGCAGGGAAGATCCTGTACATGCGACGTTGAAAATCACCAAGCCTTGCGATTAGGCAGGATCCAAACAATATTAATTTGTACATTACAATTCAGAAAATGGGATCATTGCCTGGTGGCCATGTAATACTAAATGCCCTTCCAGACAGAAATACCACCTAAAGGTTATATGCAAAGCATTATTACAGAGTTGATCATTTCGCTACAAAAACCAGGCTTTACTGATGTTTCTTCACCACAATCTATGTTGCTTGTGTTGCCAGTAAACATTAAGATCAAGTTCCACTCTGTCAGTCTCACAGATGCTTGCTGACTCAAATTCAGACGGAGTTTAAACTAACTTATTGAGTAAGGGGTGATCATAAGATTCTGCAACCCAGGGTAACGGTGTGGTGTGCTGCTCTTACACAGAGTTATTTTACCAATTCATGAAGTAACTTCTACTAAATGGAGGTCAAACTTCAAGACTGAAATCACAAGATGGAAACCATACCTCGACATGTCCACTACTGGCACAGAGGAAGCAGACCACCCTGGGAGTGATGGGTAAAGAAGTCAGGATACTAAGTCCACCCATCTCCCATACATTTTCCACATCACAGTCCTCCTGCCAAAGTCAGTAGAACAATATTAGAACATAAACAGCAATAAAAAGTTTATTCAGCAGTTAGGTAGCTTCAGCCGAAGCCTGCAGGTGCAAATTTTCAGATTTGCTGACTTGATTAGTTCCTTCTTCATACAAAATGTACTTCAGTTTTCTGAACCCATTCTTTAACAGTATATCCATTAGAAATATCATATTATAAAGAATAGCCTTCGCGGAGAATATTGTTTGAGCTGTGCACAGTGATTCACCAGGATGTTGCCCGGGATGGAGCTTTGAAGAGAGGCTGGATAAGTTGTTTTCTGTGCAGCACAGAAGAAGGTTGAGGGGAACCTCAGAGGTATACAAGATTATGAAGAGCATGGACTGAGTAAATAGAAAACAGCTGCTTCCCCTCGTCAAAGGGTCAATAATAAAGGGGTATAATTTTCAAGTGAAAGGCAGGAATTTAGAGGGAACATAAGGAAAAGCTTTCTCACGCAGAGGGTGGTGGGATCTGGACTGCACTGTCTGGGAGGGTAGTTGAGGCGGGCAACCTCACAACCTTTAAAAAGTACTTGGAACAGCACTTGAAGTGCCAGAACATTTAAGGTTATGGGCCTAATGTGGGAACGTTGGACTAGTAAAAGTAGTAGTATATTTTTGGTGTACGGACTCGATGGGCCGAGGGCCTCTTCTGCACTGTATGATTCTACGACACAAAACCTGGTATGATCCTTTCCAATCACGAGAATCAATTAACAAATCATAAAGATGATCCTACACAACAAGGTGTAGAGCTGGATGAACACAGCAGGCCAAGGAGCATCAGAGGAGCAGGAAGGCTGACGTTTC